GTATAATAGGGATTGTGAGGCTGGCATAGGACCAGGCAGTGTTTTGTTTTGGTGTTCATGAAGTCACTATGAGTTGGAGATGACTCGATGGCATTTAACAGCAACAACCTGTTGAAATGTTTCAACAAATGGATGCTATGCTGGAGGTACTTACTCGTCTATGCCAAGAAACTTGGAAAACAGCTACCTGGCCAACTGACTGGAAGAGATCCATATTTGTTCCTATTCCAAAGAAAGGTGATCCCACAGAATGTGAAAATTATTGAATAATATCATTAATATCATGTTCTGGTTACCTATTGCCTCTCTGACAGAAATGTACTACAAATGGGGTGACCTTAACAAACAGGAGTTTATTCTCTTACAATTCAGAAGGCTAGAAGTCTGAGTTCAAAGAAGTCTGAGTGAGAGCCCCTCAATCTTGGGGTCCAGCTCTGCCTCCTGCTCACAGCCCACTGGAGCTAGAGGTGTTTCTTCAGTCACCTACTGACTGCTGAGGCTGACAACCCAAGGTTGACAAGTAAAAAGGCACAATCCCAATGTTACCAAACCACACAATAGGCCATTAATTTAAGTTCATTGTAAGTCCCAAGGCCAGCAGAGCATGGCAGGTTGCTGAACAATGACACAGCTACATGTAGGGTCCAAGTGTGCCATAAGCTAGAGACTATCCCCAAGGCTTCTCCTTATATACAAAAGCAGACCACATCCCAAAGGCAGCTAATCAGCTGCTTGTGGTAGATCCCTCCATGGAGTTGATTGTCAGTATCATCATAAGGAATAACTACCACCAGCTTCCCAGCCACTCAACCAGGCGCAGCTAAGTTGACATACAAACTGAACTACCACATAACACATGCTAGTAAAATCTTGCTGAAGATAATTAAAAAAAAAAAAAAAAAAAAAACAGTTGCTGCAATATATTGACAGGGAACTTCCAGAAATGCATGCTGGATTCAGAAAAGGACATAGAATGAGGGATATCAATGCTGCTGTCAGATGGATCTTGGCTGAAAGCAAAGAATACCAGAAAGATATTTACTAGTGTTTTATTGACTATGTAAAGGAATTCGACTGTGTGGATCATAATAAATTATGGATAACTTTGAGAAGAATGGGAATTCCAGAACACTCAATTGTGCTTAAGAGAAATATGTCCATAGACCAGGAGGTGCCATTTGAACAGAATAAGAGGATAATGCATGGTTTAAAATCAGAAAGTGAGTGTGTCAGGTTTGTATCCTTTCACCTTACTTATTCAATCCGTATGCTGAGCAGATAATCCAAGAAGCTGGACTATATGAAGAAGAATGTGGCATCAGGTTTGTAGGAAAAGTCACTAATAACCTATGGTAGGAGCTCTAGTGGCGTAGTGCCTAAGGCACTTGACTGCTAACCAGAAGGTTGGCAGTTCAAACCCACCAGCCACTCCTTGGAAGGAAGGTTGGGCTTCCTTCAGAAACCCAAGGAGGGGTTGCTGTGAGTCAGAGATGATTTTACGACACATACAACAACATAGGAGCTCTGGTGGCATAATGCCTAAGGCATTTGACTGCTAACCAGAAGTTTGGCAGTTCAAACCTACCAGCCACTCCTCTGAAGGAATACTGGGCAATCTACTTCCATAAAGATACCATCTCGGAAACCCAAGGAGGGTTCACTATGCATTGGTGCCGATTTGATGACAGTGAGTTTGGTGCAGATGACACAACCTTGCTTCCTGATGACTTGAAGCCCTTACTGATGAAGATTAAAAACTACAGTCTGCAGTATGGATTATACCTCAACATAAAGAAAACAAAAATCCTCACAACTGGATCAATAAGCATCATCATGATAAATGGTTAAAAGAAGATTGAAGTCATCAGAGATTTCATATTACTTGCTTCCACAATCAACACTAATGGAAGCAGTAGTCAAGAAATCAGACAACATATTGCACTGGGAAAATCTGCTGCAAAAGACTTCTGTAAAGTGCTGAAAAGCAAGGATGTCTCTTTGAAGACTGTTGTTGTTGTTGTTATGTGCCATCGAGTCGGACCCGACTCATAGCGACCCCTCCTTGGTTTTCCGAGGCAGTATCACTACAGAAGTAGATTGTCCCATCTTCCTTCCGACTTTGAAGACTAAGGTGCACCTAACTTAAGCCATGGTATATTCAGTCACCTCATATACATGTGAAAGGTGGACAGTGAATAAGGAAGACTGAAAAAGAGTTGATGCTTTTGATTTGCAATGTTGGCAAAGAATTATGAAAGTACCATGGGCTATCAGAAGAACTAACAAATCTGTCCTGGAATAAGTACAGCTTGGAAGCGAGAATGGCCAGACCTCATCTCACCTACTTTGGCCGTGTTATCAGAGGAGACCATTCCCTGGAGAAGGATATCATGCTTAGTAAAGTGGAGGGTCAGTGAAAAAGGGGAAAGCTCTCAACAAGATGGATTGACACAGTGGCTGCAATGATGTGCTCAGGTATAGCAAAGATCGTGAGGCTGGTACAGGACCAGGCAGTGTTTTGTACTGTTGTACATAGAGTTGCTGAGTTGGAACTCACTCAACGGCACCTAACAACAACAACAACGTGAGGAAACTGAAGTACAGAGAGAATTGGTGACCTGTCCAAGGTCATACAGCTAGTAAGCGACAGAGCCAAGATTCAAACCCAGATTACCTGTCTTCTGAGTGCATCCTCTTACTACATTATGCCACTTCTCTGCCCTCTTCAGGGTAAATCAATGGCGGTGTTCTCAGTGTTTCTCAATTTGTTTCACATGCATTCCCTAATTTTGAACAACATTGCTGAAGGACTGATCTGGCCTAAACAGAATTCTCCTCAACGGGCAGGAGATGGTAAGAAACTGCCACATTAATCATAGTGAACTAAGGAGAATAAAATAACTGTGCATACTTTATCATTTTAAATTCAAGTATGTATTTCTAAAATAGCTTCCATTTTAAGAGGAAAAGTAAAATATTTTTAGTGGATTACTAAAATTGACTCTTCTTTATTCACTAAAGATATTTATTTAATTTGAATCCTCCCTTTGCTATACCCACAGGATCCACCTTGTCACTGAGATTTTTTGAGATACACTTTTCAATACCTACTGTATCTATTACTTCCTTGCCAGGCTTCGTTCACTGTTTTAGAAGAGAATATTCTTGCCACAGCCTCTTGACTAGCCACCCACCTTTGATTTTCTCCTCTTCCTTTACCTGCTAGAGTAGTCTTTGTTGAATAAATGAATGAGTAACATTATATTTTTCCTCTCATTAAAATCTATCTTCTAATGTTTTTCCCTGAAGGCATAACATCATTTATGTAGTATTCTTACCAAAAATTAATAACCTGAATCTAATAATAAGGAAGCAGTTGTGGGACATGTTACATAACAAGGGCAGTTATTTCTCAAGAGAATTAAATACTTTGAAAGACAAAGAGAGGCTCTGAAACAATTCCAGATAGGTGGGAGCTAAAGAAGCATGACATCTACATTATTAGATGTAATGCATGATGCAGAGTTGAAAAAAAAGAAAGAAAATTATAGGAATAACTGACCAGATTTGATCATGTATATTAGATAACAGCATTGTATCTATAAATTTTCTTATTTTAAGAATTATATTGTAGGTATGGAAGAGAATGTGCATGTTATGAGTACTTAAGAATGAAAGATAAAAATGTCTGTACCTTCCTTTCAAGTGATTCAGCAAAATAATACATATATAAAGAAATCTAGTCAAATGTGGTAAAATAACAAAAGGGTGAAACTAGGTGAAGGACAGACATGTTCATTATGCATTCCTTGTCAGTTTTTTAGGCTTCTTTTCAAAATGTGTAAAAATTGAAATATAATTACAAATGTCAAAGTTGGGAGTTGGGGGAGACCTCTTTCAGTAACTGTATAACTTTTAGGGAAAAGTACAAACACTTGCCAGGCACTTAGACTTTCAAGATCTAATCCTTTTCGATCTCTTGCCCCTTCTCACATGGTGCTTCACCCATTCAAAGTGACCTGCAGGGTTTTGTCATTTCCTCAACTTACAGTATTTTTCTGCTTCATTTCTTTTGCTTTACCCAGTACTAGTTGAACTTCAAGATTCTGATCAAGGTAGTGTTGATCTTACAAGTTTTCCCTGCCCCTTCCCCATCTAAGTTGGAAGACTTCCTCTCTGTGTTACTTGAGTGCCCTCTACAGTAAGAAATTTGCATTAAAAACTTATGGTCTTCAAGTAGATTCCAACTCAGAATTGACCCTATAGACAGAGTAGAACTGTCCCCTAGAATTTCCAAGGCCTTAAATCTTTTACAGGTAAGCAATCTGCTACTAAAAAAAAAAAAAAGTTGGTGGCTTGAACCTATCCATTCATCTGCAGGTGAAAGACCTGGCAATAAGCTCCTGTAAAGATTACAGCCTAGAAGACCTTATGGGGCAGTGCTGCTCTGTCACTGGAGTCAACCAAACATCAAAAGTGACTCAGCAACATCTAAAAACATAAAAGCCTAAGGATCCCTGGGTGGCTCAAATATTTAAACAAAAGGTTGATGGTTACCCACCTGGGGACAATGAAGGAAACAGGCCTGGCAGTCTGCTTCCAAAATGGCACAACCTTGAAAACCCAATGGAATAGTTCTGTTTGCACACGAGGGGTGTCTATGAGTCACAATCAACGTGGTGAATGAGGCCAGCTAGCCACAACAATGATAAAAGCTAATGTCGCCAGGTATTGTCACAGTTATCTCTTACCCTAGACCATGTATATTCTAGGTATAGTTCCTTAACAAGTATACATTTGCTATTTAATAATTTATAATATTTATTAAATGTAGGCTTTAAGAAAACAATTATTTTCTTGTTTGTTTATTTCAACTCCAGCACCTAGAACAGTGCCTGGCGTATCATATACATATAATAAATTTGCTGAATGAGTTAAATGATCAAATATATAAAATAGCAATAAGTAAGTGATTAAATACAAATTATTTCCTTTTCCAGGTTTCCAGTACACTAAATATGGATGCCGTAGGAAAAGTGATAATAAGATGGTTCATCGCAGCTTCTGTGAAGTCAATAAAAAGCCAAAACCTATTAGAAGAATGTGCAATATTCAAGAGTGCACACACCCACTGTAAGCACTTATTTTAACTCTCCTGAGATCACAGTAATTAGAGTTCAAATCTCTTTAAGTCTTCTTAATTTTAATTCTGTTTTTTGCCAAAGCTTTACATGTTCCTGGTTTACAAAGTCAAATCTTTATATAAAAATAAGTTGCACTTCCCTCACCTCCACTCTATTACTGCTGTTTCATTTCTTTTGATATTGATACTTACATATTTCCATCACTCCAAAATGTTTTTCTTCCTACTCCTCAATTTTTTATTTTTAGATATTATATACTGAATTGCCACTGTTTAATGTGAGCTTTAGCTTTCTTTTATGACTCCTCTCCAAATACACTCCCACATCATACTTCTACATCCCCTAATAGTTCCAGCATTACTCTAATATTAATATCAGTGAAAAGATTCACTGATATTAATATTCAAAGTTTATATTTTGTTGTATAAATATGTCATATAGCATACTCAGATTGTTTCCTTTCTTATAAAACTGAATTCATGAATAATAATAATTATCTTGTTTTGATCTGTTTGATTTTTTACTACTTTTCACTCATTCATCCCCAAACTCTGTACTGTGAGTATCAATTTCCTCTCAGTACTAAACATTCAAATGTCCTGTCACTTTCTTCTTCTTAAAGCTATTTCTCAGAGAGTTCACTGTGTTCCCGCTCTGGAGTGGACGACCACACAGCTCTCCTCCTGGAGTTTCCTTTTCCATTCTCACAGTAACTTCATGAAAAAAATATATATACATAGTATATTTTTTATATAAGAATCAAATTCTTACATATCTAAGGAAGTATATAAGAAGTTAAATTATAATAATATATATAAAGTCTTTCTTCCTCACTAACCCTTGATCATTTGGATGTGTGTATATATTGGATATGTGTATATTTACATATATGTGTATGTGAAAATATATATTTATATATAAAATATATATATACTATATACATACATGGGAGCTCTGGTAGCATAATGGCTAAAGCACTTGACTGCTAACCAGAAGGCTGGCGGTTCAAACCCACCAGCCACTTCTTGGAAGGAAGATTGGGCAATCCTATTTCCATAGTGATAGTTATTGTTAGGTGCCATGAAGTCAGTTCCTAATCATAGCCACCTTGTGTATAATAGATGGTCCAGCACCATCCTCATAATTGTTGGCTGTGTTTGAGCCTATTGTTGCATCCACTGCGTCAGTCTTTGTCATTGAGGGTCTTCCTCTTTTTCATTCACCCTCTACTTTACCAAACCCAAGGAGGGGTCGCTATGAGTCAGGGCTGACTCGACGGCACATAACAACAACAACAACAACATATACATACATGGGAGCTCTGGTAGCATAGTGGCTAAGGCACTTGACTGCTAACCAAAAGGCTGGCGGTTCAAACCCACCAGCCACTCCCCGGAAGGAAGATGGGGCAATCTGTTTCCATAGTGATACTGCCTTGGAAACCCAAGGAGGGGTCGCTATGGGTTGGGTCTGACTCAATGGCACACAACAACA